ACAGCATGTGAGGTCCTTTGTCATTATGGACCATATTACATTGGCATATACTTAATTTCTTAGACTTTTTGAACTTGATTTCGAATGGGTCATATCGCATGACGTTTACCCCGGTCTGTCAATAATCGGTTGGAATCCTTCTGAGAAACATTGCAGAAATTAAGTAATTGTACATCAGTTTCTAATCATGTGTGTGTATGTGTGATTTTATATGTTGTTGAGGGACTGTTTGACATGTGAGCATAAAATCAGTATGCATATAATAATAATAATAATAATAATAATAATAATAATAATAATAATCTTTATTTATACCCCACCACCATCTCCCCAAGGGACTCGGAGCGGCTTTCATGAGGCCAAGCACAACAACACATCGATAAAACAAGAAAGCAATAAACAAAAAAAAATACAATTAACATAAATCACATATAAACATTAACACACAAGGATTTAAAAACCTATGGCCGGGCCAAATGTAATAGTTTTAAATTAAAAAATAAATGCTGGGCATGAACAAAGTAGGATATATCTGGTAGGAGGGTTTTAAAAGAAGTGAGGGGAGCGCAATCCAACGAATACTTAAAGTGCATTCTGTGGACATTTTGTTGGGTATTATTTCCTTATTCCGTGAAGGCACATTGGAACAGCCATGTTTTCAGGCTCCTCCTAAAGACTGCCAATGTTGGGGCATGCCTGATATCCCTGGGAATAATAATAATAATAATAATAATAATAATAATAATAACAACAACAACAACAACAACAACAACTAAAAGTCAACGACAGATCCCAAGTGTAGACTTTGCAAGGAAGCAGACAAAACGATGGATCACATACCTAGCTGCCGCAAGAAGATCATGCAGACAGTCTACAAACAGAGGCACAACACCGTTGCTCAGATGATCCATTGGAACTTGTGCCACAAACACCATCTGCCTGCGACAAAGAACTGGTGGGATCACAGCCAGAAAACATTACGGAAAATGAACACGTCAAACTACTCTGGGACTTCTGAATTCAGACTGACTGAATTTAGCACAAAACTCCTGATCGTGGGGGGGAAAAAATATGGATTGTCGATGTTGCAATCCCAAGCAACAGCAGAATTGATGAGAAGCAACTGGAAAAGCTTACACAATACGTGGATTTAAAGACTGAATTGCAAATACTCTGGCATAAGCCAGTTAAGGTGGTCCCAGTGGTGATCGGCACACTGGGTGCAGTGCCTAAAGACCTTGGCCTGCACTTAAAAACAATCGGTGCCGACAAAATTACCATCTGTCAGCTGCAAAAGGCCAGTCTACTTGGATCTGAATACATTATTCGCCGATACATCACACAGTCCTAGAAACTTGGGAAGTGTCCGACATGTGATAGAATACAAAAGTCAGCATAGTGACCCTGTTTGCTGTGTATTAATCCTGTTGTATATCTAATAATAATAATAATAATAATAATAATAATAATAATAATAATAATAGTAGTAGTAATAATAATTGTGCTGGTATGGCTGTACCAGGAGCTCCAACTTTATTTTCTTTCTGTTATCTGTTTTGCAGTCATAGGGCAGGCCTCCTGTCCATCATAATTAAGCTTTGGTTCCACCCCTTGTTCTGGGCTCTGGGAGGGAAAGGAGCCATTTTTTGGGCAGTCTCACACAAGGTAGCTAAGCTATAGGACGTAGACCAGCTCGTCCCGTAGAAAAGCTTCCTTTCTCAAGAACATCCGGGGAAACAGAAACAGAAATTCCAGGGGAAAGGTCCCAAGGCTCTGGCTGAGAGCTCACAGCCTCTCAGCCTCACAGCAATCAGAGGGAAAACAGCCCTGAAGTTTTCAAAGAATTCTCTGAGGGAGGACAGCACTACAGATCCACGGAACTCCATCTGAAATATCTACAAGCCTCGGCTGGTAGCCCTACTCGATACCCAGACGCATTTGGAACCGGTAGTAGGACCCACACCGTTGAGGCATAGATAGTAAACAGCCCGGGAGAGGTTAAATAGGGTTTTTTTTCCTACAGAGAAAGTACAGTTAATTAAAGTCAGGTACCAGTCCATTGAGGACTAGACTAAGAAAGCCTTGAAGTGTTGTTTGAACCAATTGAAGATTTGTTGTTTGTTCCATAATAAAGACTTTGTTGTATCATTAAAGACTCTAAAGACCATCACTTCAGAAAAATCCCTGAGAACCTCTCTTTGAGGCCCCCTGGCTTCCCGCTGGGCTTAAAGTATACGTCCTATAGAAAAGTACAGCTGTTGCGACAGAATAATAATAATAATAATAATAATAATAATAATAATAATAATAATGTGACATTTCAAATGATTGGGAGGAGCCAGTCTTCTGTGATGTGATGAATCAGAACACAATAACATTAGTCCATTGCTTTTGTAAACTTGGTGTTTACAAAATAATATGGGCTGTTGTTTTTTTGGTTTTTTTCCCATTGGTGAGGATCTGGAAAACCCAAACTTCATTCCGAGTACAAGACAGACAAAACCAAGCATTTTGGCATAAAATCTTTATTAAAATAATTTATTTAACAAAACAACACTGTGTCCATAAATATCTTTTGCTGTGCCTTTTTAAAGTGCATGCAAGCAAAGGAACTAAATCTTGCACATCATATACAGAATAAAATATACCAAGAGGCTAACATTCGAATAGAAATAATGGCTGGAATCCTCAGCTAGTTTAGAACCATTCAATTTACTTAGGATCCTTCCACACGGCCATATAACCCAGAATATCAAGGCAGAAAACCCACAATATCTGCTTTGAACTGGGTTATTTGAGTCCACACTGCCATATAATCCAGTTCAATATGGAAGAGGGCTTAGATAAATCCCACTGAGTCAATGGATCCCCTGGAGGCACAATAGGTTGAATAAACCCTTATGTCGGCAGGATTGAAGACTGACAGGTCAGAGGTTCAAATCCGGGGAGAGCGTGGATGAGCTCCCTCTGTCAGCTCCAGCTCCCCATGCAGGGCATGAGAGAAGCTTCCCACAAGGATGGTAAAACATCAAAACATTGTGGCACAATAGGTTGAATAAACCCTTATGTCGGCAGGATTGAAGACTGACAGGTCGGAGGTTCGAATCCTGGGAGAGCGTGGATGAGCTCCCCCTGTCAGCTCCAGCTCCCCATGCAGGGCATAAGAGAAGCTTCCCACAAGGATGGTAAAATATCAAAACATTGTGGCACAATAGGTTAAATAAACCCTTATGTTGGCAGGATTGAAGACTGACAGGTTGGAGGTTCGAATCCGGGGAGAGCGTGGATGAGCTCCCCCTGTCAGCTCCAGCTCCCCATGCAGGGCATGAGAGAAGCTACCCACAAGGATGGTAAAACATCAAAACATCTGGGCAATGTCCCCTGGGCAACGTCCTTGCAGATGGCCAATTCTCTCACACCAGAAATGACTTGTAGTTTCGCAAGTCCTTGCAGATAGCCAATTCTCTCACGCCAGAAGCGACTTGCATTTTCTCATGAAACAAAAAATGGGTCCACTTTTGGCAACAGAAATCAGGCCAATAATTCTACATGGTGGGAAACTTTTTCTAGGACTAGCAAGAGAATTCAGACCAAAACTTTACATTAACATAAATAAATAAATAACATTCCTTCTAATTATGGTTTTTCTCTCTGTATTTCCACTAAAACCTCAAACTTTTCAAAAGATGTCCTCTTTTCATGTGAATATATCTGGCAAAAGAACTATATTTCTTATTTAGCCACAATAAACAGCCCGGACCAGGCTTGGGCAAACTTGGGCCCTCCAGGTGTTTTGGACTTCAACTCCCACAATTCCTAACAGCCTATCGGCTGTTAGGAATTGTGGGAGTTGAAGTCCAAAACACCTGGAGGGCCCAAGTTTGCCCATGCCTGGTCCAGACAGTCAAAATCCAAGCTCAACAATCTATTTCTTGCCAGGAACCCATCTTGCCAAGAACACACCCTGCTTAGGTTCACCTTAGGGTTGCGATAAGTCGCAAAGGACTTGAAGGCACACAGCAACAACAAACACAATTATGTAAGACTATGACTATGATTTGTCTCCTACATGGACAAATCTCTTTATCATATGGAAATGATGGATTTAAGTGGTGCTTCAGCAATGTATGATTCTCATGTACTTCTGTAGACCTACTGGACAAGTTTACAGAAGGATAGAGACTCTTCTGCATGTGAAGATAGATCCTTCTTGTATATCTAGACAACAATGAGTAGGTATCAGTGGTGGAAAGGGCATAATATAGAGGCTTGGTAGTTGGATAGTACTCTGGGTGGAACACCTCAGCAAGCAAGAGTCCAAAAGTGGTGGTTCGGTAGTTGGATAGTACTCTGGGTGGAACACCTCAGCAAGCAAGAGTCCAAAAGTGGTGGTTCGGTAGTTGGATAGTACTCTGGGTGGAACACCTCAGCAAGCAAGAGTCCAAAAGTGGTGGTTTGGTAGTTGGATAGTATTTTGGGTGGAACACCTCAGCAAGCAAGAGTCCAAAAGTGACGCTTTGGTAGTTGGATAGTACTTTAGGTGGAACACCTCAGCAAGCAAGAGTCCAAAAGTGGTGACCTGGTAGTTGGATAGTACCTTGGGTGGAACACCTCAGCAAGCAAGAGTCCAAAAGTGGCGGTTTGGTAGTTGGATAGTACTCTGGGTGGAACACCTCAGCAAGCAAGAGTCCAAAAGTGACGGTTTTGGTAGTTGGATAGTACTTTGGGTGGAACACCTCAGCAAGCAAGAGTCCAAAAGTGACGGTTCGGTAGTTGGATAGTACTTTGGGTGGAACACCTCAGCAAGCAAGAGTCAAAAGCGACGGTTTGGTAGTTGGATAGTACTTTGGAGGAACATCTCAGCAAGTGAGAGTTCAAAAGTGGCAGGACAAAACCCAGAACCTCAATACATGGCTGATACCAGATGGGAAACTCCCTTCTGGGAGCACAGAAGACTGGGTGACTTGGAAGGTGCTGAATAGACTATGCTCTGGCACCACGAGATGCAGAGCCAACCTTAAGAAATGGGGCTACAAAGTGGAGTCCATGACGTGTGAGACAAATGAATAATACTTTGGGTCTGAAAGCTCACTCAGTCAAAAAAACAAAAAACCCTATCACAGAACCGCCATTAGAAACCTACTAAGCTTACAATTATTGGCACACCTAACTATGCCAACACGTTGGCGTGCTTTGACTCATGCCAACTTGTGCTTCATTCAGTTGTCTATTATGATAATTACAGAAAGAAAGCATTGCAAAATAAGATAGACCTCTCCATGAACTATGAAGTGACATCCACCCCTTAATGAAGATACAGCAGATATTGCAACTGGACCTATCTAAAGAGGCAAACAAGGTGCTGACTTGTTCAAACAGCTTGCCCATTGCAATATCCAAAAATTATTAAACAGCAGGTGTCAAATCTTTGGAGTGAGCATTTGTAAAGGGAGGATAAACAGGAACCAAGATGGTCTCCATGCATCTGGGAACGTGGACTAAGCTTATGTTACAACTTCTTTCTCTTAGCTAGTCTCCAAGGTTCTACCATCTCCCTTTGCATACTGATATTCCTGATGAATATACAGCCATGTCTTTGAATTCAGGTGTGCCTGTGCTTTACTACACGGCCATGACACCGTACTTTGAGCAGAGCAGAGCTCTTTTTCTTTCCCGTTCAGCCATAAAATTCCTCAGCTTGGTGGTGGAGAATGACACCGTCGCCTGCTGCCTCTCATCCAGGCCCGTCTCTTGCAGCCACGGAGACTGGAGGCATTCAGATGCTGTTGGCCGCCTCCTACCAGGGAACAAGAAAGAGGGCTTTAGTTGAGAGGAAAGCATCATTTTCCCAAGAAAGGTCACTTGATTAGAGGCAAAGAAGAACAACCAGATTGCCTAGGTCAAGTCATAGAATGCACCCTGTTTTACTGCTATGGTTTGAGAGGGACTGGAACTCACTTGAAGAACATAGCTTAACAGGCAGAAATCCCATCTCAGACTGGGATTTCACTTAAAGATCTAGGTCAGTGATTCCCCATCTCTGGTCTTTCAGGAGTTTTGGACTTCAACTCCCCGAAGCCTCAGCTACTTTGGCCAACGATTCAAGCATGTGGGAGCTGATTAGAACTAGCTAGAACAGTCCTTCTCAACCTTCTTTCTGCCGCGACCCCTTAATCCAGTTCCTCATGTTGTGGTGACGCTCAACCATAACATTATTTTCGTTTCTACATCATAACTGTAATTTTGCTACTGTTATGAATCGTAATGTAAATATCTGATATGCAGGATTTGTTTTCATTCACTGGACCAAATTTGGCACAAATACGCAATACGCCCAAATTTGAATACTGGTGGGATTGAGAGAATTGATTTTGTCATTTGAGAGTTGTATTTGCTGGGATTTATAGTTCACCTACAATCAAAGAGCATTCTGAACTCCATCAATGATGGAATTGAACCAAACTTGGCACACAGAACTCCCATGACCAACAGAAAATACTGGAAGGGTTTGGTTGGCATTGACCTTGAGTTTTGGAGTTGTAGTTCACCTACATCCAGAGAGCACTGTGGACTCAAACAATGATGGATTTGAACCAAACTTGGTACAAATACTCAATATGCCAAAATGTGAACACTGTTGGAGTTTGGGGGAAATTAACCTTGACATTTGAGAGTTGTAGTTGCTAGGATTTATAGATCACTTACAATCAAAGAACATTCTGAACCGCTTTGATGATAGAATTGGGCCAAACTTCCCACACAAGAATCCCCATGATCAACAGGAAATACTGTGTTTTTGATGGTCTTTGGTGACCCCTCTGACACCCTCCTCGCAACCCCCACAGGGCCTGACCCCAGGTTGAGAAACGCTGACCTAGAGGATCAGAGTTTGGGAAGTACTTAAGTACAAGTTTGTGTACATGTCAACTTAATCCATGGCTAGTTTGTAGCAGCAGTACTCTGGACTGGCCCCAGAGGCAGTCACATACTCCACGCCTGGTGGTGGGGTGGTCTACATGACCCAGTTGGTCCAAAAGCATTGGCCCAACCACTTGAGCTTCCCTTCCCTGTTACTGTCGCTGCTGATGGATGGTTGCAGGAACCCATCACAGGAACCCAGTAACAAAACAGTAAAGGCTTTTGGGTGGCCAAGGAGAAGCAAGGGAGAAATCCCCTCTACTTCTACCTAGCTACACCCCTATTGATGTGAGCACAGGGCATTGCAATAACCAGGAGCAGAGAAAAGACGAATTCATCCACATCAGATTTCTTCATCTCTTTTTTGGCTTTTCCAGCAGTCCATCAGACCACCAGAATGTCCCATGGACAGAAAATATGCCCCTGATTCACCAAAGCTGCTCAATCCTTCAGGACAACCTAGAAGGCCCCAGGGATTGTAAGTTGCCATCCCAACTATAGGGACCCAATATTTTACTTGTCCAAAAGTATCTGAGCAGACCTTTGCAGGTTAATTTGACTTCTCTCCACTTACTGTCTGCTTGGGAACAAGCAAAGAGCCATACTGACCTTGCATTAATAAAACAGTCCTGGGTGGGGCTCAAGAAACAAGAGGAAATATACAAATACTTTGGATGAGGAGGGGGGATATTCTCAAGCACTGAGAAAGGATCTTCTCACCATGGGTTAGAGGAAAGTGTGCTTTGGAGGAACGAGACTGCGCCCCCAGAAAGACCGGCATAGCATTTGTTCAGCTTGACTTTCTCTCGCTTGACAAGTCTCCCAAAGTCGCAGGCAGCCTCGGAATGGATGGGGTACTCAGCACTTAACCTTAGGACAGAGAAAAACAACAATACGAATATTGGCTTTTGCTCCTTTGGAGTCGTCACTCCACATTTGCAGGTTTGATTATTCATTGATTTTATTTAAAACGTTCTCTCTCAAATTCTCTAGGTCTTCCGCTGTGACTTTGTGGTCAAATTCTGCTGGAACTTGAGCATACAGTCCTGCTGGAGGATCTACAGATTTCTAGAAACAACCTCTATAGAAATATCTAGTTTCTCCAGCAAAAATAGAACCATAGTCATGCTGGAGAAACTAAATATTCCAAAAGAGATTGAATAATTGATTAATTGATTGAAAACATCTATATTCCGGAGGGGACTCAGGGTGGAGCACAATAGATACATGGCAAACATTCAATGCCTAAACATAAATAAACCATAAACAAACATAAATATTAAAATCAATTATCCCATGTTAAAATAAACTGTTATAACTGTCTTAGATCATCCATATCGGCTCCAGTTGGCAGGATGAAGTTTCCTATTGCTGTCTTATTGCACTGTCCCAAAGGCTTGGTCCCACACCCAAGTTTTTACCATCTTTCTGAAGGACAGGAGGGAACTCTCTGCCCTGGAGTGTGGTGGAGGCTCCTTCTTTGGAGGCTTTTAAATAGAGGCTGGATGGCCATCTGTCAGGGGTGCTTTGAATGCAATTTTCCTGCTTCTTGGCAGAATGGGGTTGGACTGGATGGCCTATGAGGTCTCTTCCAACTCTAGGATTCTATCTTTCTGAAGGACAGGAAGCAGGGAGCTGATGTAATCTCGTCACCGAGGGAGTTCCATAACCGAGGAGCAATCACTGAGAAGGCCCTCTCTCTCCTTCACCAATTGCGCCTGTGATGGTGGCAGGACCCAGAACAGGGCCTCCCCAAAATATCTTAATCTCTGCGATGGTTCATAGAGGGAGATGTATGCAGACAGGTAGATTGGGTCAAGGCCATATAGGGCTTTATAGGCTAAAGCCAGCACTTTGAATTTTGCTTGGTAACAAACTGGCAACCAGTGGAGCTGATGCAACATGGGAGTTGTGTGCCCCCTCTATGCCACCCCAATTGTTAAGCTGGCTGCCTCGCGTTGGACTATTTGAAGCCTCTGAACAGTCTTCAAAGGCAACCCCATGTAGAACGTGTTGCAGTAATCTATCCTAGATGTAATGAGAGCATGGACCACCATGGCCAAGTCTAACTTCTCAAGGTACGGGCGCAACTGGTGCACAAGTTTGAATTCTGTGAAAGCGCACCTAGCCAATGAAATAACCTGTTGTTCTAGGCTCAGCAATGAGATGGAACACAAGACTTTCCACAAGCCTTCTGTTCCATCCTCTGTATCCCCTGTTCTCTCACAATCTCTCTGCACAAAATAAAGCAATGCCAGGTATTTTTTTCTTGAGGGACTGGTGGGGAATACATATGGTGGGGAATACATATTTGTTTTTTTCTGCACCTACCTATATTGGAAACCTTTATAGAAGTGCCAATTAAAATGTGAAAACTCAATTTCAGCAAAGAAATGGAGAAATGGAGAAAAAGGAAACATGAAGGGCCATATATTTCTGTTCATCTCAACAGTCAAGAAGGATTGCTGATCCTCTGCAAAGAATGCATTTGTGCACCAAATTTCCCCTGAATTTCTTTGTCGTAACAATCCTAGAAAGTTTTAAAATGACAACCATAAAGAAGGAGAAAAAAAACACACACAAGGCAACTTACATGATAAAGGCTGTAACACCAACAGACCAGATGTCCGTTTGAGGGACAGCTCCTTTGTCTGAGAGAAGTTCTGAAGCTAAGAAGACATATCCATGTTAGGAGAACTCAATAAGTTGGTTCAAGAGCAGGTAGTCCAGTGGCAAGAGGTCACGCTGATACTGATATGGCACGGAGACTCTCTGCTCTTAGTTTTAGCAAAACTTTAAAGGAGCTGGCCAAAGTACTAAACCATACCTCTAGATAATTTCAGCACCTTGGAAAGTTCCTTGTAGTTCCCAAATTTTGGTTCTCCAGAGATTTTGGACTAACTCTCAGAAACCTTAGCCAGCTTGGTCAATGGTCACGGATCCCGGGAACTAAAATCCCAAACATCCGAAGCACCAAAGTTTGGGAAACATTACTTTCAAGTTTAGACTAAGCCCTAGGCCAGATTCAGTACCTCTCTGACATCAGAGACAGAAACCACTACTGGTCATATTTGGGATGACTTGTGGGCATTCAAAGGACTGAAACACACAGCATTCACTTGGTTTGTGCTATGTTACGCTTACAAATCACTGCAGAGCCATACTTACCCATCGTTTCCACATAGTCGGTACACCCATCCAAGGTAATGACTTGGCCTGGCGTGTAGAACTGGGCATTGCCAAAGTCGAGGATTTTAAGCAGATTCGGCTCGGTGATAATCATATTTTCCGACCTTAGGTCCAAGTGCAGGATATTCTGAGCATGGAGATACTCGACTGCACTGAGAATCTGCCAGAGATAGTCTCTGACTTCCACCTCTGAGTAGGATGACCTAAGGAAAAGAATTGAGTCAAACCCAAGGGTCATCTCAGTTCCTCACAAGATTCAACTTCATCTTCAACTGTGCAGACTCCAGAAATACACATAAATATTTGACTGAAGACAAACAATAGCCTAAAATACACCAATTGTGAGTAGAACAGATCCACTTCATTAGTAACAATTAATCAAGTTAGACATGAGCCAGCAATGTGATGTGGCAGCAAAAAAGCCAATGGGATTTTGGCCTGCATCAATAGGAGTCTAGTGTCCAATTCTGGGCACCACAATTGAAGAGAGATATTGATAAACTGGAATAAGGAGGGCAATAATAATAATAATAATAATAATATTAAACCTTTATTTATACGCCGCTACCATCTCCCGCAGGACTCGGTGCGGCTTACAAGAGGCCGAGCCCAAATACATCAGAAACAAAATACACAACAACAACAATACAACAATAAATAACTCATAACAAAGCAAAACAATAACAAAAATCACGACACATTTAAAAACCTGTGGCAGGGCCAAATGTAATGGTTAAAATTTTAAAAAATGCTGGGCATGTCCAGGTGAAATAGGATGGATATTTTAGGGATAAGTGGGTGTGCAGACAATTCTAACTCTCTTGTAAAGTGCATTTGGGACAAATTGCTTGGGATACCTTAATCTGGGAAGGCACACTGGAACATCCATGTTTTCAAGCTCCTTCTAAAGACTGCCAGTGTTGGGGCATGCCTGATGTCCTTGGGGAGGGAGTTCCAGAGTCGTGGGCCACCACCGAGAAGGCCCTGTCCCTCGTTCCCACCAATCGCGCTTGCGATGCAGGTGGGATCGTGAGCAGGGCCTTTCCAGATGATCGGAGAGATCGTGTGGGTTCATATACGGAGAAGCGGTCACGCAGGTAGGCGGGTCCCAAACCGTTTAGGGCTTTGTAGGTAAGCACCTGCACCTTGAATTGGGACCGGAAAATGAACGCTGCAATGTGTCCAGAGGAGGGTGACTAAAATGATCAAGGGTCTGGAGAACAAGCCCTATGAGGAGCAGCTTAAAGAGCTAGGCATGTTTAGCCTGAAGAAGAGAAGGCTGAGAGGAGATATGATAGCCATGTATAAATATGAGAGGAAGCCACAGGGAGGAGGGAGCAAGCTTGTTTTCTGCTTCCCTGGAGACTAGGATGTGGAACAATGGCTTCAAACTACAAGAGAGGAGATTCCATCTGAACACGAGGAAGAACTTCCTGACTGTGAGAGCCGTTCAGCAGTGGAACTCTCTGCCTCGGAGTGTGGTGGAGGCTCCTTCTTTGGAAGCTTTTAAACAGAGGCTGGATGGCCATCTGTCGGGGGTGCTTTGAATGCAATTTTCTGCTTCTTGGGAGGGGGTTGGACTGGATGGCCCATGAGGTCTCTTCCAACTCTATGATTCTATGATAAGCAAACCAAAATGGACTGATTTAGTAAGTCTTCTCTAGTTAGTAACTAGTATTTGGATTTAAGCCTACGAAAACATTTCCAGATAGTCTTTGCTGGGTGCAAGTAGAGCAATAAGGAACGAGCATGGTTTGCAAGATGATTTGTTCAGTCTTCATTGTGCCTCAAGATTAGACGCTCCTTGTTATATGCTGTGATTTTGTTCAAAGACACTCTGTAGATACCAAAATCCATTCATACTCTTATCTCATTATATACAATAGAATAATAAAATGCTGTCCCTGATACAAAATGGCAAAGTTAAAGTTTACTTTTTAGGTATTACTTAGTGAGGAATATCTGCATGCCATTGATGTTTAAACCCATGGAAGAACAATCTATGGCTACAGAAGGCCAACTCGAGATATAACATTTTTCCCAAGCAGAAAGCAAGTGGCAATAAAGCTCTCTTAAAATCAAATATTTGTTAGATTATCTCTCCCACTTTTGATTTTCTCCTACCATTTTGCAATAGGAAAAAAAAGTGGTTTTGCAATAGGGAGAAGTTGTTTATTTATTTATTTACTGTATTAACCGGATCGGTGTATAGGGTGGCAACCTGTGCTGGACGGGGTTACACTCCCCCTGAAGTCACAGGTCCGCAGTTTGGGAGCCCTCTTGGACTCATCACTTACACTTGAGGCTCAGGCGTCGGCGGTGTCCGGGAGGGCTTTTGCACAATTGAGACTCGTGTGCCAACTGCGACCGTACCTCGTAAAGGCTGATCTGGCCAGGGTGGTCCATGCCTTGGTCACCTCCAGATTGGACTACTGTAATGCGCTCTACATGGGGCTGCCCTTGAAAACGGCCCGGAAATTCCAACTGGTCAAACGGGCAGTGGCCAGGTTGTTAACTGGTGCTCCTTACAGAGAGAAGTCAACCCTCCTGTTTAAGGAGCTCCATTGGCTGCCATTAATTTTCCGGTCCCAATTCAAGGTGCAGGTGCTGACCTACAAAGCCCTAAATGGTTTGGGACCCGCCTACCTGCGTGATCGCATCTCCGTATACAAACCCACACGATCTCTCCGATCATCTGGAGAGGCCCTGCTTAATCCCACCTGCGTCGCAAGCACATTTGGTGGGGACGAGGGACAGGGCCTTCTCTGTGGTGGCCCCTACTCTGGAACTCTCTCCCCAAGGACATCAGACAAGCCCCAACGTTGGCTATCTTTAGGAAGAGCCTGAAGACATGGCTGTTCCAGGGTGCCTTCCCAGAATAGGAAACTCCTAGCATCATGTCCCAAATGCACTTTACCAGAGATTTAAGATTGTCTGCACACCGCACCTATCTCCAAAAACATACAGTGGATGTGGCTTTTAATGAGACATGCCGCATTATCACGGGGTGTCTGCGCCCTACACCACTGGAGAAATTACACTGCTTAGCCGGTATTGCACCACCTGACATCCGCCGGGAAGTAGCAGCCAATAGTGAAAGGACCAAGGCAGAGACATCTCCAGCTCATCCCCTGTTTGGGTATCAGCCAGCACGTCAATGACTTAAATCTAGAAATAGTTTTCTAAGATCTACAGAGACACTCGTCGGAACACCTCAGCAAGCGAGAGTCCAAAAGTGGCAGGCTCAAACCCAGAACCTCAACCAATGGCTGATACCAAATGAGAGACTCCCCCTGGGCACACAGAAGACTGGGCGACTTGGAAGGCGCTGAACAGACTGCGCTCTGGCACCACGAGATGCAGAGCCAACCTTAAGAAATGGGGCTACAAAGTGAATCCACGACATGCGAGTGTGGAGAAGAGCAAACCACAGACCACCCGCTGCAATGCAACCTGAGCCCTGCCACATGCACAATGGAGGACCTTCTTGCGGCAACACCAGAAGCACTCCAAGTGGCCAGATACTGGTCAAAGGACATTTAATCAACTACCAAACTCACAAATTTTGTATTTTGTCTGTTTGTTTGCTTTGTTCTGTTAGAAATGTAATATAATTTGACTGGTTGTCCTGACACGATAAATAAATAAATAAAACCTGTCATGTCCAGCACTTTTAATTTATTCATTACATTTGGCCTGGCCCTAGTTTTAAATGTGACATGGACCACCACTGAGAAGGCCCTGTCTCTCATCCCCATCAAACGTACTTGTGACGAAGGCAGGACCAAGAGCCGGGCCTCCCCAGACGATCTTAAGGTCCTTGATGGTTCGTAAGGGGAGATACATTTAAAATTTGCAGCTGAAGCAATTACATAACCGGACCTGCTGTCACACAGATGGAAAAGGGCTTCCAAAGTATTCCTTCCATTTCTGATGGAAAGTTTAACTCCCTTGTTCACAGGAATGGGTCCCCTTTCAATTCCTATACCCTTGCCCACAAAAAGATCAGAAACTGAACATCTAAAAAATGTGTGCTGGATCTCTGTGCTGATCATGAACTGTATCAAATTTATTTTTATTTATTTATTACAGCTTTTCTATTCCGCCCTTGTCCTCACCCCGCAGCAGGGGACTCGGGGCGTATTACAGTGTGCACATATATGGCAAACATCCAATGCCAATTTTTGACATACAAACATGTACAGACATACACAGAGGCTATTTCACTTTTTCTGGCCGCCAGGGGAGCTGTCGCTTTCATTGTCCATCTGCGACGCTGATGAAGCACTTCCGCATTCCCCGCATGCTTCCCCACTGGAATACTTTGCTGGAGTCTTCTTTATGGCCTCATAAATCAGTTAATTTAGCCTCTCCACACTTGAAGGTGGTACCTAATTTTCCTACTTGACAGATGCAACTGTCTTTCGGGTAGCAAAGGTCGACAACAGGCTACACACAATTGGTTGGAAACCCACTCCAACCCGGGCTGGCTTCGAACTCATGACCTTTTGGTCAGAGTGATAATGCAGCTGACACTCAGCCAGCTGCACCACAATCTTGATGTTGATGTTGCTGTTGTTGTTGTTGTGTGATGGGTAGCAGAGGAAAAAACAAAAGAGAAGGGAAAGCAGAAAAGAAGCACCATAGCTTAAAGGATGGGTGTACTTACCTTCCAGCCAAAGCATTCAGGAGTTCGGGCCCAACGCAAAGCTCCATGATCAGCACCAAGTGCCTTGGGCTGACATAAGCCCCTTGCAGCTGCCCAATGTTGGTGTGGTGAAGTTTCCGCAGAATGTGATACTCCATGAGCACGGCCTCCTTGTTTTCTTGCCTGTAAGGGATGATTTTGGCAGCCAAGGGGTTCCCGCTGAGCTTTTCTCGGCACTGTTTAGTGATGCTGAAGCGACCTCTGCTCCAAGGAAGAAGAAGAAGAAAGGAAAAGACACACACCAAGGTTAACCTCAATTCCTCCCAAGGTTGGGCATCACCAGCCCACATTTTTCCATGGCTTTCAAAGTCAAATCATTTCATATACTGGAATTATTTCTACCAGTTGGACAAAGAGGGGAAGCACCTACCACAACATCCTGGGAAAGGGCTTACCTCCCCCTTTCTGCAATTTTTTTAAGTTTAGTATTTATTTGAACTTCAAGAACAAATGCAAACAAATAAGAGAAAAAAAAAGAACTGATGCTCAAAGAGGCTCAGAATGTGGATACACACTCTTTACAACTCTTTGATAGTTTGTACATCTGCACAAAGTTAACATGAGCCAACAATGTGATGCGGCAGCTAGAAAAGCCAATGGGATGTTGGCCTGCATCACTAGGATCTAGTGCCTAGATCCAGGGAAGTCATGCTCCCCATGCTCTATTCTGCCTTGGTCAGACCACATCTGGAATCACACTGTGTCCAATTCTGGGCACCACAATTGAAGGGAGATGTTGACTCTAAGCTGGAATGTGTCCAGAGGAGGGAGACTCAAAGAATCAAGGGTCTGCAGAACAAGCCCTATGAGGAGTGGCTTAAAGAGCTGGGAATATTTAGCCTGATGAACAGAAGGCTGAGAGGAGACATTTATTTATTTAGAGCTTTTATAACCCGGTCTTCTCGACCTCCGAAGAGGGACTCAGGCCGGTTCACAACAAAAGATTCATAAACAATAGTATAAAACATCACACCTCATAATACACTAATACATAAAATACATTAAAATACAATCATATAATTACATAAGGCCAAGTCGTCAGAATGAAATCACAATTCATCACCATCCGTCCGTGTGGTCAAGAGTTATTGACTCACTCATCAAATGCTATATTCCAAAGCCAAGATTTCACCAGCTTTCTAAAAGTCAGGAGAGAAGGGGCAGATCTAATCTCCACTGGGAGAGAGTTCCAGAGCCGAGGGGCCACCACCGAGAAGGCCCTGTCCCTCGTCCCCACCAGACGCGATTGCGAGGGTGGTGGGACCGAGAGCAGGGCCCCTCCAGAAGATCTTAACAACCTTGATGGTTCATAGGGGAGAATCCTCAGACAGGTAAACTGGGCCGGAGTCGTTTAGGGATTGGTATAGACGAAATACAGCAGCTTCTAAATAAATATTAACTTTCGGTATTATAGGGTCAACAGCCAGCACTTGATTGGGTTGGTGGCTCGAAGCTAATTGCAGCCTGTATCTGCGCAACATAGGGGTGCATATATGCTCGCCTGTACCCTGGCTCCTCTGTTAGTATCCTGGCTGGCCGCTCATGAGGAATGGCTTAAAGAGCCTGGGCAGGTTTAGCCTGAAGAAGAGAAGGCTGAGAGGATAGATGATATGTACAAGTATGTGAGGGGAAGTCATAGGGAGGAGGGAGCAAGCTTGTTTTCTGCTTGCCTGGAGACTAGGACGCGGAACAATGGCTTCAAACTACAAGAAAGGAGATTCCATCTGAACATTAGGAAGAACTTCCTGACTGTGAGAGCCGTTCAGCAGTGGAACTCTCTGCCAGAGTGTGGTGGAGGCTCCTTCTTTGGAGTCGTTGAAACAGAGGCTGGATGGCCATCTTTTAGGAGTGCTTTGAATGCAATATTCCTGCTTCTTGGGAGGGGGTTGGACTGGATGGCCCATGAGGTGTCTTCCAACTCTAGGATTCTATGATTCTACCAGCAGTCTTTGGCAGAGAATGCTAAAAGCCTTGTAAAACTACAACACCCATGATTCAATAGAATTCAGCCATGCAAAATAAAATGTAGTGGCATTAATTCTACATTGTATTGTGACAAGCTGCGCATCTTCTACCTCCTCCTTTAGCCTGGTGGCTTTATTTATTTCACTTACAGTTTGCCTTCTTTGACCTTGTAAAACTACAACACCCATGTAAAACTACACCAAAGTGTAGTGGCATTAATTCTACACCGTATTGTGCCAAGTTGCACGTCTTCTTCCTCCTCCTTTAGCCTGGTGGCTTTATTTATTTCACTTACAGTTTGCCTTCTTTGACCTTGTAAAACTACAACACCCATGTAAAACTACACCAAAGTGTAGTGGCATTAATTCTACACCGTATTGTGCCAAGTTGCACGTCTTCTTCCTCCTCCTTTAGCCTGGTGGCTTTATCTATTTCACTTACAGTTTGCCTTCTTTGACCTTCAGAGACCCATTTTTGTGCAGAAGTGCTACAAACACATGAGTGCATGAAGAGCATGGATTGTCTCTGAGGACAGGGCAGTTAAAGCTTTAGCTCAAAAAGCATAACCTTATTCTAATCTTCCCCAGAAGCTTCTTGTACAAGTGGGCTGTGCATGCCAAAGGTATGACTGTATTCCCTTTGATTTAAACACCTGGACTGGCAACTTTCTAGTTGTGCAAAAGGTTCGATGCTAAGGAGAAGAGAGGTGAGGGCACCTGCAAAGACGTCGTTCTGTGAAAATCAAACGTTCCGTGTACCTTTTAATCTCTGTCTGGAAGGCATAGGTCTGGTGGGTAGGCTGAGCTGGAGCCGTCATTTTGTCGTCCGCCGCCTCTTGAGCCTGGAATGCTGGAAGGGGAGGGGGTGGCAGGGGAGGAAATGCCAAGTTGAAACACAAACACTGCTGCAGGCAACAGGGAGACTCATGGTATCTCCTGCTAAGGCCGTTTCCTGGATTCGAGGATCTTGGCACTACGTTATCATGACTGGATCCTGAGAAAGGCACGTCACCGAAAGCTCCTTGCAATTGCCTGGTGTTACCGAAAAATGAGAAAGCAAGGATTCCCTTATATTCTGCATTCATGCATGGCAGAGGGTGGGACTGGAGGGCCCTTGTGATCTCTTCCAACTCTATGATTCTCTTCCAACTCCATGATTCTAATATGGTCAACATTTGTATTATATTGTCGAAGGCTTTCATGGCCGGAATCACTGGGTTGTTGTAGGTTTTTCCGGCTATATGGCCATGTTCTGGAGGCAATTTTTCTCCTGACATTTCGCCTGCATCTATGGCAAGCATCCTCAGAGGTAGTGAGGTCTGTTGGAAGTAGGAAAAATGGGTTTATATATCTGTGGAATGACCAGGGTGAGACAAAGGACTTTTGTTTGCTGGGGCTAGATGTGAATCTTTCAGCTGATCACCTTGATACCATGCAACTGTGGACAAGTCTACATGGGGACCACCAAACCCAGCGCCCAGACACGCATCAAGGAACATGAAAGGCACTGCAAACTACTCCAACCAGAGAAATCAGCCATAGCAGAGCACCTGATGAACCAACCTGGACACAGCATATCATTTGAGAACACAGAAGTGCTGGACCACTCTCACAACCACCGTGTCAGACTACACAGAGAAGCCATTGAAATCCACAAGCATGTGGACAATTTCAACAGAAAGGAAGAAACCATGAAAATGAACAAAATCTGGCTACCAGTATTAAAAAACTCAAAAATTACAACAGCAAAACAACAGAGGGGAAACAAACAGGCACATAAAATCACTCTCAACAAGAGATTCCCCCCAGGCACTTCCAAGCCATTGAATGCTAATCAAGGTGATCAGCTGAAACATTCACAGCTAGCCCCAGCAGACAAGTCCTTTGTCTCACCCTGGTCATTCCACAGATATATAAACCCATTTTTCCTAGTTCCAACAGACCTCACTACCTCTGAGGATGCTTGCCATAGATGCAGGCAAAATGTCAGGAGAAAAATTGCCTCCAGAACATGGCCATATAGCCCGGAAAAACCTACAACAACCCAGTGATTCCGGCCATGAAAGCCTTCAACAATACATTTTCTACCTTGGCAGCCCCCTCTCCACAAAAGTCAACATTGACACTGAAATACAACACCGCCTGAGCTTTGCGAGTGCAGCATTTTTCTGAATGAAGCAGAGAGTGTTTGAGGACTGGGACATCTGTAAGGAGATCAAGGTGCTTGTTTATAAAGCTATTGTCCTCCCAACCCTGTTATACGCCTGCAAGGCATGGACTGTCTACAGACGTCACATGCAACTCCTAGAGTGAGTCCATCAGCGTTGCTTCCGAAAAATGCTGCAAATCTCTTGGGAAGACAAGTGGACAAATATCAGCATGCTGGAAGAAGCAAAGACCACCAGCATTGAAGCAATGGTCCTCCACTATCAACTCCGCTGGATCAGCCACGTTGTCCAGATGCCCGACCACCGTCTCCCAAAGCAGTTGCTCTACTCTGAACTCAAGAAATTAAAACGGAGTGTTTGTGGGCAGGAAAAGAGATTGAAAGATGGGCTCAAAGCCAACCTTAAAAACTCTGATATAGACACTGAGAACTGGGAAGTTCTGGCCCTTGAGCGCTCCAGCTGGAGGTCAGCTGTGACCAGCAGTGCTCTAGAATTTGAAGAGGCATGAATGGAAGATGAAAGAGAGAAATGTGCCATGAGGAAGGAGCATCAAGCCAACTCCGACTGGGACTGCCTTTCACCTGGAAACCAATGCCCTCACTGTGGGAGAAGATGCAGATCAAGAATAGGGCTCCACAGTCACCTACAGACACAACGCCAGTACACCGATCTTGGAAGACAATCCTACTTGGACAACAAGGAATCGCCTAAGTAAGTAAAAATTCTATTATACTGTAGTTAGACTAATCGATAGGGTTATTAGCCCCATAGGTGAATATTCTATCTCAGTGTCTCTCAACTACCTGATGTGGAAAGGAGAATTTGCCACTCTATGTCAAAGACCACTATGATATTGTGCCCATTTGCTACCATTGCTTCCTTATTTCTTAGGAACATACCAAGAATCAGCCACTGATGGCTCACAGACCAGAACTGATCCCAGGACCATCACTTTAGTACTGCACTAACTCATTTGGTTTGGAATATGGGGATACCTTCTTGATCCCTTTCGCCAATTTTCACTTTGGCCGTTGGGTTGCTGTAGGGACCCACGCCAGCTTTGGTGACGCAGGCAATCCGGAAGGAGTAGACCAAGCCCTCGGGGAGATGTTCCACGGTATAGCAGCAGTCGGCGATGTCGCTGGCCAAAGTCTTCCATTCTCCATCTTGGAAAAGGAGAAAAAGGATTTGTATTTGAACCTGGCAAGGGGTTATAATTGCAATATGTTGACAAGATATATTCTGGATACTAGACTTGGGCCTGAATTAGTTTGAAAACAAAGATTTGTAATATTTTGTGGTCCATCTATATATATATAAAAATGCTCTGTGCGTAATGAGTACCTTAAAAATAAAAGAACCAATGAACGAAATCACACCAAATTTGGCAACAAAACGTCTCACAACACAAGGAGTGACCATCACTCAAATAATTATGACTTTGTCATTTGGGAGTTGTAGATGATGGGATTTATAGTTCACCTATAATCAAAGAGCATTCTGAACCCCACCAACGATGGAATTGAACCAAACTTGGCACACAAGACTCCCATGACCAACAGAAAACACTAGAAGGGTTTGGTGGGCATTGACCTTGAGTTTTGGAGTTGTAGTTCACCTACATTTAGAGAGCACTGTGGACTCAAACAATGATGTATCTGGACCAAACTTAGCACAAGCACTCAATATGCCCAAATAGGAACACAGATGGAGTTTGGGGAAAATAGACCTTGACATTTGGGAGTTGTAGTTGCTGGGATTGATAGTTCACCTACAATCAAGGAGCATTACGAACCCTAACAATGATGGAATTGGGCCAAACATCCCACACAGAACCCTCATGACCAACAGAAAATACTGTGTTTTCTGGTGGTCTTTGTTGACCCTACTGAGACCCCCCCCCCCCCCAAGGGGTCTTGACTTCCCAGGTTGAGAAATGCTGCCTTAAGGCCACCCAGGCCAACTCCCTTCACCAGGGCAAGAAAACATAATCAAAGCCCTCCTGACAAAGGGCCATCCAGCCATTCACACAAACATATATATGTATACGACAGATGCAGTATCAAAGATTTGAAAGGGGCCCCTAAAGGAGGACAATGATCTGTTGCATGTTCCAGAGTAGGCCAACCAGACGCTCTCCACATCAACACTGGCAAAGAAACAGCAAGAAATACCGTTTACCCACAAGCAGAAAGACATTACACATATTAGAAACCAACACTTTCTCATTACTTTATTTTCCAGATCACCAGACTGGGCCACAGCAACGTGTGGCAGAGGACCGCTAGTATTTTATACATTTCCCAGCAGCACTTGCATGGGGCAGACATTGAAAAGTCTCCAAGTTTCCCTCGGAGCATGATGGGAGTTGAAGTTTTTCTCTCTCTCTGTTTCCCAGCCAATAAAAAGCCTGGTTGTGTCCATGCTCTGTTTGGCTGAGAATGGATGCAACTGGCAACTACAATTCCCAGAACCCTCTCTTGAAGTTTGTCTTATTTTTTAAAAAATGTTATGGTTAAAACTTAAAATAATTCTAAAAAATCAGTAGATTGGTGAGTTGTTTTGAAACCTGGCAGGTCTGCAGTTGTAAATGAGGGTCTAAAACTGAGGTAGGTTTCATGCAATCTTTGCCAAATGAAAATAGCAACAGCCCTCCTAACTCAAGTAACTTCACAGTAAACAGAATGAGGGGTTAGCTGACTATTGATCCCAAAATGGCATGCCGAATTGCACACCTCTACTGGTGTGCAAGGGAGATCAAAGTTGGGGAAAGCAACAGTGTTTGCTTGAAGTTCTGGAATATCCCACAGCTCTGGGACAGTATGGATAGCTAAATCAGGTCCAGTGTGGACTGGCTGCAGAAGGGTCAATAGTGAGCGTACATGTGCTTTCAGGTTGTTTATTGACTTATGGAGACCCCATGAATTTCCTAGGGATTTCTCAAGCAAGGAGAACTCAGATGTGGCTTTGCTGGTTTCTTCCTCTGAAATAGAGCCAACACCACCTGGAATTCATTGGCAGTTTCACCATTCAAGTATTTAACGGGGTTGAACCTGCATAGCTTCCAAGATCTGGTGCCTTTGGGGTATTTACATCTTCTGACAAAGAAACTCCTTTTAATAAATATTGGAGTATGGCTTTGGGAGCTAAGGCAAGGTCTCCACAGAGAGCATGTGGAGGAGATGCAATTTTTCTCAAGTTGTGAAGATGAATGGAACTCTCTTTTACCATCCTTTTTGCACAAAACAGAGTAGGTCACGGGGGTTTTCAGGTCCACGGGCTCCCAAGCCAGCTGCACTCCATCTTCAAGGACATCAACAATATCAGGAGCTGGTGGATTGGAAGGTGCCTCTGTCAGGAAAGAAGACAAGATTAACCATGTGGCTGGTAGAATAAAGACCTTTCTATACGGCGTACTAAGTGATTACAAGCATGCCTTTGATCCCAGAGCGCTCAATATTTTTGGAGGAGGGTGTAGCACTTCCGAGCAGGAAAAAGCCCTCTGATTTTAAAACATGCTGAGTGAAGAAAAAAATCCTTTTTATTGAAGCTTAGTAAAATAGCCAGTAGAAAGAAATGCTTATAACAAAATAGGAAAAATCCATAAAGTAAAAGGTCAGTAAAATGCAGTAACTCAAAGCAATGTTCACAAAAGGTATAAAAACAATCCAAGGCAGTATTTATCCAGATAGGAATCAACAGGATGCAAAGACAATCCAAACCTTGCTAATCAACACCAAAAGGCTAGAAGTATCCACAGGAACAAGACCCCTTAAATAGGATTTCCACGGCACATGAACTTGATTTCCAAATGATGCCTGATCTAACAGGTTTCCCCTTGAAGCAAACCTTATATCCCAAAACCCAGAAACTGGTTTCGTTTCCCCCCACCCTTGACTCTTATCTGATGAAGCCTTTCAGAGAGACGTAAACCTTGAGTCTGTCGTCCGTCCTGGCTGAACTCCAGCCACCTGTTTTTCAACTCCCTTTCTGGCTGCTCATTAAAATTTCCAGGTGTCAGATTGTTTTCCAAACCCAAATCTTGAGAGCTCACAGAGAGAGTAAACCATCATCCCTATGCCCAGCAGGAATATTCTCATGAGAAACTGCCCTTTGCACTGGGGCCTCTCTGTCATTGTCTGCAAGAAAATCAATCACCAAACCATCTCCATCTTGCACCTCAGCCTCAGCACCATCATTTCCCTCATCATTTCTCACAGCATTGCTCACATCATTGCCCACATCAGAAGCATCATGATCCTGGAACACAAACACAGGCTGACTCTCAACAGAGGGAAGGTTGTAGAGCAGTGGTTCTCAACCTGTGGGTCCCCCGCTGTTTTGACCTTCAACTCCCTGAAATCCTAACATCTGGTAAACTGGTTGGGATTTATGGGAGTTGTAGGCCAAAACAGCTGGGGACCCACAGGTTGAGAACCACTGCTGTGTTGGGAAACTAAGCACTTGTAAAGCCAGAAGGTCAGAAGAAAGTGATCTGGGGACCTTCTTCCCAATGGTGCTTTTGACAATTTCATGCTCAGGAGAGCAAATGGGAAATAATTCCTGATGTTACCTGCTCTCCTTATTACGCAGGAAGTAGAAATTGTGCCCTGGGAGTTGGTGGCCACACAGGTGTAAGTGCCGAAATCCTCTCTCGTAGCTGCTAATATTGTTAAAAGCTGGTAATGTTTGAGCGTGGATGAAATTAGGATCCTGTCGGTGCTACGAAGGGCTGCTCCATCTGGGAGGTGGAAGTAAAAAGGGAAATTGGTGAAGCATTGCGCATTAAATCCAGTTGGTTCAGGGAAACAACATGGCAAGAAGCATTTGATATTATTAGGCCGGTTCCACAAGCTGGAGATAATATAAGATGAGGTGTCTTTCTCTTCTTGAGTAGATCTGTGAGATACAAAGCTGAAAAGAAACAGAGCTCTCTGTTCTTTTCCATTTAACCCGGAGAATGAACTAGATTGGAAAAGCTGAAATGCAAACCCAACATCTCTGGAGGCTACCAGGTTGGGAAAAGCTGGTGCAGATTATGTTCCCTGTAGAGAAAAGCTGTCCTCCACTACCCCCTCAGACTCTAAGTCATGGAATCATAGAATCAAAGAGTTGGAAGAGACCTCATGGGCCATCCAGTCCAACCCCCTGCCAAGAAGCAGGAATATTGCATTTAAATCACCCCTGACAGATGGCCATCCAGCCTCTGTTTAAAAGCTTCCAAAGAAGGAGCCTCCACCACACTCTGGGGCAGAGAGTTCCACTGCTGAACAGCTCTCACAGTCAGGAAGTTCTTCCTCATGTTCAGGTGGAATCTCCTTTCCTGTAGTTTGAAGCCATTGTTCCATGTCCTAGTCTCCAGGGCAGCAGAAAACAAGCTTGCTCCCTCCTCCCTATGACTTCCTCTCACATATTTATACATGGCTATCATGTCTCCTCTCAGCCTTCTCTTCTTCAGGCTAAACATGCCCAGCTCTTTAAGCTGCTCCTCATAGGGCTTGTTCTCCAGACACCTTGATCATTTTAGTCGCCCTCCTCTGGACACATTCCAGCTTGTCAATATCTCTCTTGAATTGTGGTGCCCAGAATTGGACACAATATTCCAGGTGTGGTCTAACCAAAGCGGAATAGAGCATGGGGAGCATGACTTCCTAGATCTAGACACTAGGCTCCTATTGATGCAGGCCAAAATCCCATTGGCTTTTTTTGTTGCTGCATCACATTGTTGGCTCATGTTTAACTTGTTGTCCACAAGGACTCCAAGTCCTTGTATAAGCATTCATTCACTGTTTTATTTACCCCACTACTTAATCTCTGAGAGTGTGCATGTCATGCTAGAAGGTGGACCAAATGTATAAGTGGAGAAGGTCACCTTTGAACCATTCAATACGAGGAGACGAACGAGACGATGTCCGACAGGAGAGCGTTAAAGATTGCCCCAAGGAAATGGTCTGGTCAGTAAGCTCTTCTACAAAAGATGGTGCTGAAAAATAGAGACATGGTTATAGGATTTTTCTAAGGTATGGAACCATAGGCAGCAGTAATGCAGAAAGCAGTAGGCCCTCCATTTTCGTGGATGCAATGCATACAGGGCCTCTGCAAAAGTGGAAAAAACACAATGAAAAATACTAATTTTTAAATCTGGGGATTCTTGGTTCTCCAGAACAATTCCATGGTCAACTTCTATTATTTATTTATTTATTTATTTATTTATTTATTTACTTACTTACTTTATTTGTATACCGCTGTTCTCAGCCCTTAGGCGACTCACAGCGGTTAACTTCTACTGGTACTTTACTCCAGAATTGTGTTGAAAAACCTAAAAATTCAAAGAAATTGATTTTGAAAATCCCCTCAAACAGTGGGGTGTTTGGGCATTGTATTATACCATTTTGTTTATATATTGTCCTTTTCCTATCTAGTGAATCCAAAGACTATAAATGCTGATAGGAAATCAAAACAGAACCGATAGCTACCAATTAGAATGCAAGTAGTCAAGCGTGTACTACAACAACCTTTTCAAAACTATGTCAATTCAGGGGTTGTAGTATATCTATTATCTGTATGTTGCTGTGTTTCTTATTTAGTGAATTAAAACATCATAACACCTAAAGAAGATATTGCGAAACAAGGGAAACAACCCGGGAGACTTTGTTGTGTGTCACTGTCACTGATGTTGTTTATGGAAGGAGATCTTTCGACAACATAGAAAGTGTTATTTTGTGTCACTGTGCCTGACATTGCTTAATTGTTATTTTGGAAGCTCTAGTTTCACTGTGTTGACAAAGTATTGATAAACTATCTTCTATTTATAAACAGTCTTTAATTAATCGTGTGAATGTTCTCATGTTACATTCAATGTAGACATTCTTAGAACATAGAAATTGTGATTTGCAATCTACAGTTTTTGTAATTGTTGTTATAGATATCTGTGCATGTTACACTGACCATAGAAGTATTCTGCAGAACTAGAGATTCCTACAGATAACATATCAATCAAATCCACGATTAATCAAATTTGCAAGTGTGATAAGCTGACTGTACTCAAAATGTGCCAGAAATTTAAAAATTTCTATTCTACAGTATGCAAACAAATTTATTGTAGACAGGTAAAATGAGCTCTGCAGAAAGAAGGAGGGGAAGCATGCAGCACCATCTTGCCCTGCCAGGAACTGGCCCTGGCAACTATTGCCAGTCCTTTCAAATGGTGCCTTTTGTCCCTTGAGTAATTAGGATTGCACTTTTGTGTAGTGTGCAAGCTACACTTCTCTGGGTTGTAGCTTTTTCTGTTTCATGAGCTACCTTTCTCCTTCATCTTGAGGCTTGGCAGAGTGAATGAAGGGAAAGCGAGTCTCCTCTTTGCACTTCCAGGAGACTCTGGCAAGGACACCCGCTCCTGTACCTCGCTCTTCCGCTCTTCGGAGTCTGTTGAAAAGGAGAGAAACCATTACAAATGATACTTGGGATGGCTTACAGTAGCTGGGATGAGATAGAGACTGATTCAAGGATCCTCTCTGTTTACATTTTTGATTTGTTTGCTTGTGCTTTGATCTCAGAGGGCACTACAGCTGTAAAACTAGCTGCTAGGATTAACTTGGAGCTTTTGGGAAAGCACGGAGAAGAAGAGTTTGATTAAATAAACCAAAATAAGAATCCCAAGGACGTGCTCTGCAAATAATTCAGCAGATTATGGGGTATATTTTAATCTTTGTATCATATAGTTAAGTTTGTAAAAGGGTATTTCTCCTTTAAAGTGACCTTTCATGATAACTAAAGCTTGAGTTGCTTGGGAAAGTGTGGTCCTCTCTCACATACCCATCATTTCCCACCCCATGTTCTTCAACCCTAGAAGTTCTAGCAAACTCGCATGGCATCCCCCTTGGTCTATGTGAGACCCAGAACCAAAACCTCACCTGCCCTGCTTTCCTCATCAGAAGAGGATTTTCTCGTCAACATCCTGGAAAGATGGGCAACTGAGGCTTTCATCTTTTTCTTTAGGCTTTGCTCTACCAGTTCCATGGATTGAGACCTGACAAAAGGTTTGAAGCGCCCCAATCTGCTCTGGAGGGAGCTCCTTCTCTTCCCTGTTGGATCTTCTGAGAGGACATAAATCTGTTGGGAGTCAACGGGGATATCTCCTTCTGAATCAGACCTTTTCCCTATCGTGGGTGCTTGGGTTTGTCTTGACACTGTCTCCAACTCAGGAGTAGATGCAGTTTTCTCTTCATCTTTGTGCATTTCCCTTATCATAGCCTCTTCTTGCAGATTGTCTTCCCTGACACATATTTTCTTCTCCTGATGCACATGAGCTTGGATCCCAGGTTGCAACCTTCCCAATGGGAAACGCCTTTTCCTGGGTAACTTCTCGGGGGATTTCCTGAAGCTGAGGAACTCAAATGGGAAGTAGACAATGTCGTAGAGTTCATAGAGATTGAGGAAAGCAGGCTCCACCTCAGAGATGTCAAACTTGGCTGTCTTGCTGTCAGGATGGGGCATGTCTTCTGAGAGATCTTGGATCTGCACCAAAGCAATCTCATACATCCGGTTGTACATCTGGCCACTTCCTTGACTGCCCGCATAATAGAATCTGTCCCAAAAATCGGAACTAGCAAGCTGAGAGTCCATCGGCATTTCTTCACCTCCATAACCCAAGGCATGGCCTACATAAGAGGGAGACATCCTTGCTTTTTTGGTCATGAAAAGATCTTCTTCTCCAGGATAAACAACGTCTACTTCTGAGGGATCTGCTAATCCAATGCCCCCTTCTCTTTTCCCTCGGCGCACAAGATACCTGGCTGTTCCTCTTCCACGTTGCCCAGGAGAGCCTTGGAAGACCATCTCCCTTGGCGGAGAGATGTGCCTCATTCCTCTGGATGGAGAGACATCCCTCTCAAATCCCTCTTGTTCATAAACTGACTCTGCCAAAGCAGTCATCTCTTCTGACAAGCAAACCATTTCATCTACTAGATAGTCTAGATCTTCAGCCTCTCTGTCACTGTAAACTGAGGGTTTCGGAGATAGGCCTTCTCTTTCTCTTCTTTCACCTACAGCAATGGAAGGCTTTGCTAGCAAAATAGGAAATTCTTCCCCAACAGTTGAAAATAGTCCCATTTTTCCTTGAGAGAAGCCTGAAGCAGATGCCCCTTGGCCCCTTGGGATCAATCTATAGACACGTTCTCCTTCTTGAGGGAAACTTCTAACGTCACTAGGAACAGGCATGGCTTCTCTGTAAATTGAAGGCTTTGAGGATGAGCCCTTTTCTTCATGAGCCATTCCTACAGAGGAGATTTGGGCTTGGAAAGCACCTTGAGAAAATGAAGGAATATTTTGGAGGACACCAGAAACCACCCCACTGTAAATAGCGGGTTTCTGCTGTGAAATTGGTTGGCTTTCTCCCCCAGGGATGTGAACAGGCACTGTCTCTATACCAAAAGGGACCTGGCCTTTTATATCAGGTAATTTTGTCTTACTGGGCATGACAGGTGCTTGGTATAACTGTTTCTGGCTTTTGATTTCTGAGATAGAACTTGGAGCAGACTTTGCTTGAGAAGTAGATGGGACTTGCCCCTCTAACACAGTTGATTTTGCAACAGCCGAAGGCTCTTTCCTTCCAGGTATGGATGAAGCAGACACTTCTGCTTGTGAGAAAGGCATACCTGGTGCCATTTTGGTGGAAATTGAAGGCTTCTGGTCTAATACTGAATGGGCTCCAACCACCTGCACAGTCTCTGGGACCTTCAGGCTCTTGCCCTTTGCCGTAGTGACTTGTTGCATCTTGACCTGATCAGAAGGAATCCCAGCTTGATGTTTCCCTTGAATATCCAAAGACTTTAGAAGAGAAGGTCTTACACTCTGGGGAACTCCTTCTTCCTTCTGTGAAGGTGCCAATTTTGTCTCTTGAAGAAGGTGTTTCCCCCTTTCGCTGCCATGGGGGACCATTGGGAGAGACTGTCCATCAGTGAAAACAACACTTTCTCCTTTTGGAATGGCATCCTTAGGTGTCTGAAGTAACTGCTTGACCTTACCTTCATGCTTGTGGACCAACCCTGAGGCTATATCTTCTTGATACATTAGTCCACCTCCGGAAACAGGCTTTTCTATCTGTGTGGATGAAGGCAACTTTGTGTCTTGAGGTAATCCCTCTCCTTTTCCAGGGAGCTGTGTTGCAATCGAAGCTTTCTTTTGCTGTTGTGTGCTCAAAACTGAGCTCTGCTTCATGCCAAGTTGTGGCTGCTCCTTGAGATAATCCTGTTGAGTTTTTGTTGTGTCTTCTCCTGCAAACGTCTTTTGGAAGCCACCTTCAGAAGCATGTCTCTGATGAGATACCACCATGGGACTACTCTGGGGGATTTGGTCACTTTCTTCTTCCTCAATGTATTGTTCCTCAGCAAAACTTGCAGCTCTGATTCGGTAATCATCCAAAGAACGACTTCTGCTGGTAACTGGGAAGGCAACTCGGGGGGATTTCTGGGCTGTATCAAAAGAAGCTGATTTTTTCATCGGAGGTCCCCCTTCCCTGGACCTTTCTGTTTCTTCATCACCAGATATCTCTTCGACGCCTTCTTCTCCAAACTGCTCTAGCAGAGGTTCACGCAAGCCACTTAAAGCTGATTTTGAATATCCTGCTTTCCTATATGATCTCTTGGCTCTTTCTAAGTGTTTTCTGTGCTCTTTGCCTGGCGATGGGGGAACATTTGCAAGACTTTCAGACGGCTGGCCGTAGAAAGTACTTTTGATGACACTGTGCCTAGGGATACATCCCGGAGACCGTCCTGCTTCAGCTCCTTCTACTTTAGCTCCTTCTGGAAGTAACAAACCAGTTGGAGAAGAGTCAGATACCTCCATCGGACTTGGCAGTTGGTCTCCACCTTTGACTAGTAGCAGTGAGGTTTCAGAAGGTTTAATCTCAGTGGTGAGTTGATATTCAGGATAATTTGCTTCCTCAAACACAGAAAGGTGAAGTTCTGGCGTGGGACCAAAGAGTCTTCTCCCTGGTGAGACTGCAATTTCATTGTCGGAAGATGACCCACTGGTACTAGAGGAGCTGCTGTCTTCCACCAAGTGTCGGGAGATGCCCAGAGAAGTGTTTTGATGTGTTTTCTCCAAAATGTCTGGGATGGATCGCATTACCAGGACAGCTTTGTAGCTCATAAGGGAACGCTGGGCATTGAAAGAAAGCAGAAGGCAAAGATGTAAGTAGCAGAGAAAAGAAAACTCTGTTATTCAAAGCATACTTGGCTTCCAAAAGATACTCGCTTGTACTTTCTGGAGAACAGACATTGTGATATATGCACAGGGGCGGCTCAACCCAGCACCGGGATTGTGGCGCAGCTGGCTGAGTGTCAGCTGCATTAAGATCACTCTGACCAAAAGGTCATGAGTTCGAAGCCAGCCCGGGTTGGAGTGGGTTTCCAACCAATGTGTGTAGTCTGTTGTCGACTTTTGCAACCCGAAAGACAGTTGCATCTGTTGCATCTGTCAAGTAGGAAAATAAGGTACTAAATTAACTGATTTAGGAGGCCATAAAGAAGACTCCAGCAAAGCATTCCAGCGGGGAAGCATGCGGGGAATGCGGAAGTGCTTCATCAGCGTCGCAGATGGATGATGAAAGCGACAGCTCCCCTGGTGGCCAGAAAAAGTTAAATAGCCTCTGTGTATGTCTGTATATGTTTTTATGTCAAAAATTGGCATTGAATGTTTGCCATATATGTGTACACTGTAATCCGCCCTGAGTCCCTGCGGGGTGAGAAGGGTGGAATATAAAAGCTGTAAATAAATAATAAATAAATAAATACGCAAAGTAAGCATTTGCAGTATAGTTGATTTTGCCCAGGGGTGCTCTTGAGGTGCTCTTGGGGGAAAATAGACCTTGACATATGCGAGTTGTAGTTACTGGGATGTATAGTTCACCTACAATCAAAGAGCATTCTGAACTCCACCAATGATGGAATTTAACCAAATATGGCACACAGAACTCCCACGACGAACAGAAAATATATATCAGTGATTGGTTGGGGGGGGGGGGGCCAAAATACTGTTTGCTTACCGTTGAAAATTACCTAGGGCCACCTCTTATATGCCAGTGGTTCTCAACCTGGGGTCCCCAGATGCTTTTGGCCTTCCAACTCCCAGAAATCTTAACAGCTGGTAAACCGACTGGGATTTCTGGGAGTTGTAGGCCAAAAACATCTGGGGACCCAAGGTTGAGAACCACTGGTATATGCAATTGCACAACAAGGTCCAAATGAAAACTGTATATAGGATTAATGCCCAAGAGCAAACAAAACCTGATATTTGCAGTCTCAGACCAAAAATTTTATTCATCTTATGGTTTTGTGTTTCCGCTTACATTTTTAACTGGTACCCCTCACAATGGACCTAAATTTTGTATGTTGTGGGAATTGTTAAAACTCCCTCCCCATATTGGGGGGGCTTTTGCGCATGCGTTGGGAGTAGTTGGACGCTCCGAATACTCCTCTCCCCCAAAAAAGGATTTACAGCTCACCCAAGGGTAAGAAAACAGAATAAAAAGCCGTTTTGTTTTTCTTAAGTGCAGGGCACCATAAGGTCAAAAAGACTGTTTAGAGAGACAGACCCTGATATTGTAAGAGACGAATCTCTGTCTGACCGGTGCCCTGAGTAGTAAGATGGCGAGGAACCTCCGAGAACTGAGTAAAGAGATTAGTAATTCTCTGGCTGCAATGGAGACAAA